TTCCTTCATCTTCATTCATGCTCGCACGCGCTCTCGTATAGCGTATCAGACGAGGTCCTCGCGCATCCTGCGGGCGAAGTCGTCGGCGTGCTCCTTGGTGACGCAGCTGGCGAGAAGCCGCGTGCCGGCGAGCGGCGCGGGCGCCCTCATCACGATGACCGACGCGATGAGGTCGCAGTTCACCAGCGGGCCGGCGGACACCGGCGCGCCGTACCCGTAGTCCACGTCGGCGAACCCGAGCTTGCTCCAGTCCGACACGTACACGGACTCGTAGTTGAAGGTCATCTGGAACGGGTCGAGTCCTCCGGTGCGGCCCTCGGCCCAGCTCAGGCACTCCTCGGCCATCCGCCGCTTCGCCTCCCGGACCATTCCCACAAGCTCGATCACCGACGAGCTGGCCACCTTCTCCGCCGGCGCCTGCACCTTGACGGGGAAGATGGCGTTGCCGTAGTAGCCCGGCTCCAGCTTCAGCACGTGGCGCACGCTGGCGAAGAAGCAGAGCCTGACGTCGGCGCCAGCGCCGGCGGCGTCGATGATGGCACGCGTCCGGCACTGCCACAGCTTGGCGATGACGATGTCGAAGCCCGAGCAGATCTTGCCGCCCGTGGACGCCGCGTACTGCGACTTGAGCTTGTCCAGGTACGCGGTGGGGAAGTCGAACGCGATGTACTCCAGCGCCAGCACCGGCAGCTCCGGGAGCGGGCCGGGCTTGATGTCCGGGTCGGGGAAGCGGTCCCGGCCCCAGATGGGCTTCACGCGGGGCTCCGGCAGCCCGCGGGCGAGGTCGCCGACGGCGTTCAGGAACTGCGCCGCGCCCGTGCCGTCCGCCACCGCGTGGTTGGTGCGCAGGCCCACCACGAAGCCGCCGCAGGTGAAGGTCGTGACCTGAAAATAACGACTTGAAAAGTTCTCAATGCTGCGTATATGACCGTCACCAGCTGATGAGGTAATTGTTAATGTTCTATTACTAGTACGGGTTGTTAGTCATAGGTTCATGTTCAACTAGATGTAGAAACGAAGAGTAGCTGTAGATCTACCAGTTGACTTCCAATCGAACATTATTCGCCGTGTTTAGTTGAAGTCCAAAATCCAAAAAGTTACTACAGTACCTGTCACATCGAATGTTTGCGGCACGTGCATGGAGCATTAAATATAGATGAAAAGAAAAACTAATTGCACAGTTTGGTGGGAAATTGCGAGACGAACGTTTTGAGCCTAATTAGTCCATGTTTGAATACTATTTATCAAATAAAAATAAACGTGCTACAGTAGTCCCAAAGTCCAAATTTCTACGACTAAACACAGCCTATATGTAGAAACGAAGAGTAGCTGTAGATCTACCAGTTGACTTCCAATCGAACATTATTGTCAGGTTTTGCTTTTGTTCAAAGCCATGCAAATACTATATAATAATACTACTATGTTAAATCTTGTCATCGAAAATATATTTGTGAAAGTACACGGTCCTTAATTTGTGACAGCTGTTTAGGACAGTGCAAGTCATGGTTGCATATTTGCTCCTGTTTCAATCATGCATGCAGTTGGCTTTGCACGAAAGTTTGGTGTGTTTTATACCGTCGTCTGATCAAACTGCTGCTTCTCTCACATCTCCTCGTTCGCCGACCAACGTGTCAGAACAAATGAAACAGGAAATATGTACTTACAGCCCGAAGTGGGCAAGTAAGTAGATCCAGCGCACGCGCACCTGTATCATGGCGAGGCTGTTGTGCGGCTCGACGGGCCAGAGCTCCGGCGTCGGGCACGGCACGAGCTGCTCCTTGGCGAGGAGCAGCGGCCGCTCCAGGAAGTTGACGTCGGCGAGGGTGCAGTTGGCGGCGGCCTCCACGAAGTAGACGCCCTCGGCAGAGCACATCACGGCGGGGCGCCCAGGCACGTCCTCCACGATCCGACCCGCGAACGGGTAGTAGTGCACCAGCGCGTCCGCCAGCGCGCCGCGCACCACCGCGGCCGGGGACTTCAGCTTGGTAGTCACCTCCTTCTTCGTCGGCGCCAGTGCGTCGTCGGCCTCTGCTGCTCCCGCGGCCGGCGCCGGCGGAAGCAGCATCTTCGCGACGTCGTCGGAGCAGTAGATGTGCGTGGACTCGACGAGGCCGCGGTGCGTCGGGTACCGGTCGACCCAGGCCAGGGGCAACGTCTCCGACGGCGTGTCGGCGGACGGCCGCACCGGCCCCTCGGACAGCTTGGTCACCGTGAAGATGCCCATGGCTCTGTGGTTTTGTTTGTTGTTGTCTGCTAGATCTCGCCGGCTTGGCGTTGGCGCGTCGCGTAGGAGACGACAGGTTCTCGGTGGGGGTGGGGGAGCATAGAGCGAGCGGCGCAGGGTTTTTATAGGGCCAGCAGTCCAGCACGGTGTGGAGATGTTGGCACACTTTTACTTTATACTTCTATACTCCTATGTTCCAGATTATTTGTTGACTATAAAAGGTGTGGAGATGTTGCGCCTACAACTCAAGTATTTTTCAAATGCATATAGTGCAGCCTCCATTAATTTGACTTACCTAGCATCCAATTAGGTAGCATTATTAGAGCAAGAAGTTTTGAATTGGAGACTTGGATTACAAAATTTATATATACAACAAAAAGGAGAAAACAGTATACACATCAAAATTATCTGGGCTTCTAGCTAGACGACTTCAAATAATAAACAGAATTCATCTACAACTCAACTTCAAAATCTCGTTGAACACCCAAATCTCCATATGATGTTTGTCTCCCTCCGAGTCCGTACGAAAAAGTTAGTGTAAAAAAAGTTTCAAATTTAAATTTCAAACATGGAAAAGTATATTTCCTGCATGTAATATGAACCTGCATGGATAATCGCAGTTGTATCCATTCCAACTTGTTATGAGCCAGAATGAATAATACTAATTTATATACATCAATGCAGGTGGATAACACTTGAAAGGCTTATTGTTGTTGATTCTTAATGAGAATTCCTAGAGAACATTGGGTTGTTTCCGCTGGCTCCAGCACGCGATTTTTCTGTCCGCTCGATCTGCTTCCCCCGCTGGCCGCTGCCCTCTGATTTTATGTCCGCCCGATCTACTTCCCCCGCCGGCCGCTGCTCCCTCCGCCGCGCTGGCGCTGCCTCATCCCGACGGCGTGGGCTACTTCCAAGTGGCGCGCGGGCTACGGTGCTGCCCCTGCCAGGGCTCCGGCAGCCCCTTCTCCGTGGCCGGCCACCGAGCGGGCGTCCCCCGCGCGGGTCAGCCCCTTCAAGCTCCTGCGCGGGATCCCTTCGTCTGCTGCCATGCGCGAGCCGCTGCGGGATGTTCCGCATCGGGAAAAAGATGCCTCAAACGGAGGTAGAAGAGAAGAAAATGGACGTTATATTTTTGTTTTGGTATGTTCTATCTTTGACATTTGTGAACAAATTTAGCATATATTTCTCTAATATATTTGTAATTTTTCTGAACAATTTGACATATGTTTCTCTGAAATTGCAATATATACAAATAGTTGTGTTATTCCTAAATTATATTACTCTGTCCAATAAATTACAATGAATAATTCAGTGTAAATATAGTAATAAGATATTGTAAATATAATTTGTAAATACTTGGGCAAAAATTGAGTGCCACGAGTGACCAAAACACTCAGTTGTTGCCTGGACATATTCTTCTTAATAATATCCATCGGTACCTACACGTCTTACTCATGTCGATTGTAATTTTAATGATAAAGATGAGGTAGCATGGATTGTTTTTAATAATGATAGCACAATTTTCTCATACATGTGATGGATCAGGGTCCTAGAGGTTCCCATGGGGTACTACTTGGATGGTCCCTAGGATGGCCCATGATCTGTTGAAGGACGCGAGACAAGGTGATGTAGACTTCAAGCTATTCTAGATCAACTTAGTCGACTTACTATGAAAGCTAGATTCTGTAATAGGACTAGGACTCTTCTCTGGTAACCGACTAGAATTAGATACGTGCCATTACCCTCTCCCCTATATAAAGAGAGGTACGGTGCACCCCCTTGTAACCCTAACGATCATACAATCAATCCAACGCAAAAGGCTACACGCCGACTAGACGTAAAGGCTATTACTTGACATGAGGGCCCGAACCAGTATAAATCGTTCATCTCTTTGCGTTTACTATCGAGTTCTGCGTACGCCAAAACCCTTCGAACTCCGTCCTGGGTACCCCCGTGATGGATTGCCGGTCATCAAACACCGACAGCTGTTGCGCCAGGTAGGGACTTTCGATGACTTCGCGATCGAGAGCTCGACAGACCTCGAGGACATGATTTTCTCAGAGGGTATCACCTTCATCTTTGGCTCCTGGATCTGCAAGGCAGATGACAATGGCAAACTCCAAAGTTGTCTCATGGAGATCCCGGTGCCTCAAGCTTCACCAGACGTCTCGACGACCACGCTGGATCAACTATCCGAGAAGTTTTCGCACCTCTCAATCTCTAATCCAACCCGAACTCAGGAGGTCACCATCAACAATGACTCCCGCTCGGACATGTCACCCTTGTCCGGGCTAGAGATCCCATCTGAAGTCCAACGCGAAGACCCAGTTCATTTTTCACTTGGACCCAAGAATTTAGCTTCAATCTATCAAGATACAATCAGCTACCTCATGCAATCTGAGCAAGAGATCCCTCTTATGGGTGCCCAGAGAGGTTTGGTTCTATCCATCACATCCAAAGGAGGCATCGTCCATTGGCTGGGTGCTCGACCTGATACTTCTTTAACAGATTCATCTCGTCTAGTCGGCATGGTGGAACTCTAGCCTTATCAGGACGGCAAAACTCTTTCAGCGGATAACAACGATCATGGTTCTATAGAGATCCTGGACAACGCGACGACTGCAGAATCTGGAACTCACTCGGCCACGAGGAAATCCAGAGAAGTCTTTATGGCTGGGCAACCACCTTAGATCCCTATGCCTAACCCACCATATATCAAGATGGAGAGGAAGCCTTGTTCGACATCTCTCTGGACATTGCGCCACCCAACGGAGAGATGAATGAGCAGAAGACGGCTAGGGAAAAGAAGAACAAAGCTCGACAGGCTCGGCGCAACTGTGCCCAACACCGCAAGGAAGAGTGGCAGCAATATCAGTCGGCTTGCCGAGACGTTGAACAACGGTGCTTGGCTACAGAGGCAGCATATGAACAATGTCTACAGGATGAAGAAGCAGAACGACAGCGCCAAGACCGTGATGCCGTCAGAGCCCCTGCATCACGCAACCTTGAGCCTGAGTTCATGGAAGTAGCTGGCCTTAGGGTCTTCACTATGCCCTACGCCAACGTTTATGCCCTGGTAGAAGAGATGGCAGCCATAGAAAACCCTACTCGAGATCAGCAATGACTCAAAGTCATTCTGGAATCCATAGCCCTTCAGATGCAGGCTACAAAAGTGACATCCCAAGCTAACCCTTCCCGAGGACCAGAGGCGCGGGCACCAGCCCACTCTTGTCTGGGACCATAGGGTAACCAATGAAGAGGACAATGAGTACCAGCCCACTCCCGTCTAGGGCCGCAGGTAACCAGAGCAGGAATCAGGGTGCCGCACAGTCAGCCTATCATGAGCATCAGTACAGCAATAAGGAAGGTAGAGGCGAGTTCGAATATAGAGAGGCCGACATCTCACCGGATAGGTTCCCATGTTTGTCTAACAGACTACTCTCTGTTCGACTTCCCTACAAGTTTAAGCCGTCCAACCATACCAAGTACGACGGGAAGATAGAACCCAACCAATGGTTGTGCATCTACTCTTAGTCCATCGAGTTGGCAGGCGGTGACGACGACATCAAAGTATTATATTTTCCCATGGCACTCGATACTGTGACTCTCGCCTAGTTCGATAAGCTATGAGCCCACTCCATCGATACTTGGGGATAGCTTTAGCGCAAATTCTATGAATTTTTTTGCGGCATCCTCACCCACCCAAGTACTCGGAACAAGCTTAGAACTTGCAAGTAGAAACTAGATGAAACCTTCTAGCAATATTATCGCCGCTTTGCTAAGTTACGAGCCCAAGTCTATGATATCATAGACAGGGAGGTGATAGATCACTTCGCCAATGGGATCAAATACAAGTGGCAGTTTGAAAAATTCTATGACGATAATCTAGAGACCGCCAAAGAATTTAAGCGTACAATACAGAAGATGATTGCATCTGAAGAGCATACTCGTGAACGGTTCCCACGCGGCCAACAAGGCAAAGGTTATGACCCTAGAAGCAATCAGGGTAGACAATCCGGTAGAAAGAGAGGACCTGACAACACCCTTGCTTCTATGGACAGGTCCAAGAAGTCTAACAAAAATAACAAGAAGTTTGAAGACCTCAAGCATTTACCCTGCCCTTTCCACAAGAACGCCAAGCACACGGCGGGCGAGTGCATATAACTCCAAGAACTGGTTTTCTATGGCAAAAGTAATAAGGGCAAGGGTAAAGCTGATAACAACAAAGATGGAGACGACAACACTGACCCTGGCTTTCAACAGTCTAAGGGCCAAATTGCAGTAATCTTTGTTGGGTTATCGACTTCATCAAACAAGCACTCAGTGAAGTTGGCTCATCGAGACATCATGGCAGGAGAGCCCTCAACACCAAAATACCTTAATTGGTCCAAGTACTCGATCTAGTTTTCCAGAAAAGATCAATGGACTAGCGTGACTAATGCCTGCCACTATCCGCTCATCTTGGATCCAACAATAGCCGGCATGACAGTCCCCAAGGTCCTGATCGATGGTGGAGCATGATTGAATATAATATTTGTAGATATGCTGAAGAAGATAGGCCTAAACTTTACTAGCCTACTCACCCCCACTGACATCCTGTTCCACAGGATACCCGGCAAGGTTGCCATGCCACTCGAACAGATCACGCTCCCAGTAACATTTGGCAACCCAAACAATTTTCGAACAGAATTCATCAAGTTTGAGGTGGCTGACTTCGAATCATCATACCATGCTATCTTCGGTCGACCTGCTTTGGACAAGTTTATGGCTGTACCACATTACCCGTACCTCTTTCTCAAGATGCCGGGTCCCAATGGCGTACTCTCCTTCTAAGGTAACCTCAAGCGCTCATATGAATACAACACGGAAGCCGTCTAGATCACAGCCAGAACGTAGCAAGCCTATGAAGCATAGGAGATTGCCAACATTGCATAGCAGACTAAGCCAGAAGACATGGAGATTCTGACTAAGAAGGAGGGAATCATTGCACCACCCTATAAGATGGATACCATCAAGATTGATCTAGGTACTGGTGATCCCTCTAAGACGGCTATCATCAGCGCCCACCTTTCTAAAGAATAGGAATTCGCGCTCACCAAGTTTCTTAGGCAAAACAAGAATATCTTCGCATGGAAGCCGGCTGATATGCCAGGTGTTCTGAGAGAATTGGCTGAGCACAAATTGGATTTAAACCCTAGCTCAAAGCCGATCAAGCAACATCTACAACGGTTCTCACCAGATAAGAAAGTAGCAATCAAGAAGGAAATCACCAAGCTATTGGTAGCCGAGTTCATTAGGGAAATCCTTCACCTTGACTGGCTAGCCAATCCTATACTCTTCTAGAAGAAAAACTCGAAAGAGTGGCGCATGTGCGTCGACTACACAGATCTCAACAAACACTAGCCGAAGGATCCCTTTGGCTTACCTCGCATTGATCAGATCGTAGACTCTATGGCTGGGTCAGCTCTTTTATCCTTCCTTAATTGCTACTCAGGTTACCATCAGATTGCCCTCCATAAAGAAGATTAGAGCAAGACATCCTTCATCACTCAGTTTGGTGCCTATTGTTACACAACCATGTCCTTCGGGTTAAAAAACACCGGTGCAACCTATTAGCGGGCTATCCAGGCGTGCCTAAGTGAGTAGATCGGTCATAGTGTAGAAGGCTACGTGGATGATGTCATCATCAAGACCAAGGATCCTTCTACTCTGATCGCAGACTTGAAGCAAACATTTGACAGTCTTCGTTAGTACAAGTGGAAGCTTAACCCAACAAAGTATGTGTTTGGAGTTCCTTTCGGATAGCTATTGGGTTTTCTCATGAGCCATCAGGGTATCAAAGCTAGTACAAAGCAGATTCAAGCAATCACTTAGATCACTCGACCTTCACTATGTCAAAGATGTTTAGAAACTGACAGGGTGCATGGCTACCCTCAATCGTTTCATCTCATGACTCGGGGAGAAAGGTTTGCCCTTCTTCAAGTTGTTGAAAAAATCAGGCAAGTTCAAGTGGATAGCTAAAGCTGATGAAGCCTTCTAGAAGCTCAAGGACTACCTATCCACCTCTCCAATACTTACTCCACCCCTTACTCCACCCGAGAAGCACGAACCACTCCTACTCTACATTGCAGCTACTACTATGGTAGTCAGCACGACAATAGTCATGGAGTGGGCTGAAGAAGGGCTTGTATATAAGGTACAACAACCTTTCTATTATATTAGCAAGGTGCTATCAGAATCCAAGGCTAAGTACCCACATGTGCAAAAGCTCCTCCATGCCCCCTTGATCACTTCACGCAAGCTACGCCACTACTTTGATGAACACAAGGTAACAGTGGTATCCGACTTTCCGCTTGGCGATATCCTACGCAATCGGGATGCAACTGGATGCATATCCAAGTGGTCAGTCGAACTCAGAGCTCAAAACATCGAGTTCGTCTCCCGCAAGGCTATCAAATCTCAAGCCTTGGCTGATTTCATAGCCGAGTGGACCAAAGCCCAACAGCCTATTCCGACAGTTATCCTTGACCATTGGAAGATGTATTTCAATGGTTCCCTCAAGCTAGGAGGTGCAGGCGTTGGCGTTCTCTTCATATCTCTAGATGGAAAGCAGCTTAAATATGTCCTACAAATACTTTGGCGTGCTACCAACAATGAATCCGAGTATAAGGCCCTCCTTCATGGCCTCCGAGTAGCAGTCTCACTCGACATCAAACTTTTGCTCGTCTATGGTGACTCCTTGGTGGTCATCAACCAGGTCAACAAGGATTGGGACTGCACCAAGGAGACCATGGACGCTTACTACGCAGAAGTTCGCAAACTTGAGAAACACTTCCAAGGTCTAGAAATCCTCCATGCTAAATTGGTTGATGTTTGTTCAGGAACTCCAAGTCCCTTCAATCAAACAAGAAGCCTCCACATCCATCGGTACTCCGACTCCTGATGTCTAGGTACTAGTGGTCAACCCGGTATGGACGCAAGTATTCATTGATTACATCCGAGACCATACGTTGCCCGATGACAAGGTAGAAGCAGAGCAGATCATGCGCAGAAGCAAGAATTACGTCTTAGTCAAGATAGACTCTACCGACGGGAAGCATCATCTGGTGTTCTCCTCAATGCATCACACCTGAAGAAGCGTAGAAAATCTTGGAGGAAATTCACTTCGGGTGTTGTGGCAACCACTGTTGGTGGTCTCTATCGATCAAATCCGACCGCCAAATAAGTCATAAAAGAGGAGAAATTAGCAATCTTAATCACATATGCATTTACTATTAATCAAGTTCCACATGTATTTGGAGAACATTATTTTGCAGGTCACAAACACAAATACATGGAATAATTCACCAAAAGGCGCTTTTTGACGCTGATTTGCGCCAAGGAACAAGGGATCCATCAAATCAATTCAAGCAATCCTGGTCTAGCCCACGGCCTGCCAGGCGAAGGCGGTGGTGAGAGGCCATGGTCAATGGGCGGCCAACCCCTAGGGGCGCCTGACCCCTTGCCGGTGCTGCTCAGCCCCTCATTGCTATGGCGATGGCATGGAGCCATGCTAAGGCGGTGGGAGCCAGCCCTCGTGCCAATTATAACTCGTAGCACCGCCAATGCTCCTATATAAGTAGAGGGATACCGCCCCTCTCTAAAGACACACCACATTGAGCAACACCTCACTCTCTACTCTCTTTAGTTTTACCTTTTAGTTGTATTAGAGCAAGGTAAAGCCACCTTGGAGGGCTTGACTCCTTGGAAGAAGAGAGTCTTGGTATGAATATCAATATGGGTTCTTCCAAAGTCATGTCTTCACTTTATTATAGTCATACTTATGAACTCGACTATAGTTATTGTGTTATGATCTTGATATATGAACTAGTGCAGAGTTTATGTGTCATGAGAGTAGCACACTTAACTTAATGCTTAAACAATCATATAACTTATATAATCAGAATTAGAGCTAAGTTGAGGTGACGGTTCATCATGTCGTCAGGTGTGCCCAAGTTCTTTACCTATCGATCTGTAGGGTCGGGGACTCGAGGGGATTTGGGTAGTTTCTATATACGCAAGCGTGGTGCTTGGGTATGGAGAGATAGGTGAATGCATTGTCCTTCTCTCCAGTTGAGGGGTAGG